TCGATCCTCCTTCTCTTTCGCAGCTTTCGTTGTCTTGGACCGTCCGCTGCCCCCGTGTGACAGCACCTGATGCGAATGCGTCTTCCTCTGCCGCCCACCACGTGCGGACTGCACCACTGCCATCGGGATCGGATGGTAGTGCCCACCATTGTGTTGAAGGTTCGGTCCCTTTGTCAAGGGGGAGTAGTCAAGAGCATCCTGCGTCAATGAACAAACATCCGTCTGTTGCAGGAATGACTTCTCCTAACGAACGGGTCTCCAATAGCCGAATGACCTCTGCTAACATTGACCCCGCCGGAGCCGCCGCCCTAAGGCCGCCCTCCGGATCACGGCGCGTTGCGACTTCGTCCGCTCCTGCCTCGCTTTCTGGGTCCTCCCCGCCGAAGACGAGGACCCGCCCGCCTGGTCCACCCCCGCCTGTGCCTGGTGCCCGCCCTTTGCCCCTTCGCCCTGCACCGGCTCCGCCGTTTGATGACAAGTGCGAGTACGCTTCGGATGACGTCCTTCTTTTCTGGAAACCTCCGTCTGTGTTCTCGCAATGGACTCCTTCGGCTTTTGACGTACTGGGGGTACGTTATTCATATGGTGAGCAATTTATGATGTTTGAAAAAGCGAAGCTGTTTGGGGATATGACGTCGTATGACAAAATTATGGCTGCAACAAATCCTAAGAAACTCAAGTTTTTGGGTCGAAACGTGCGTCCTTTCGACTATGCTGAATGGGAGCGTCGTCGTGAAGAGATCGTGCTTACGGGGTCGTATGCCAAATTTGCTCAAAACCATCACATGAAACATCATCTACTGGAGACCCGCCTTCTTGCAGAAGCCAGCCCCTTCGATCGTGTTTGGGGGTATCGGCATGTCTGCATGCGTTCCAGATGCTAGCGTTTCATCCAAGTGAGCGGCTAGCGGTAAAAACTTGTTGGGAAAAGCTTTGATGGAAGTTCGACGCCTTTTGCGTGATCATCCCCTCTCTGGCGAAGATTTCCCCGCTTCCAATTCTCCAACGCCCCCCATTCGCAGCCTCCTCTCCATGGACATCGACGCATCCATGAGGTTGCTACTGCTACAGGTTCTTCGCTACGGAAGGACCCGGGCGAAGACCCAGCTTGTCTACGTTTGGACGCTCCGGGGGACCATGCTCCTGGCGTTAATCTGGTGGCATCGACCTCCGCTTGTGCAGACCAGACTCCTCTTCTCGAACATGGGCCCGATCTGGTCGGCGGCACGCTCCTGTTGGACTCGGACTCATACACCACCCGGGTCCTGCTGCATGGAGGACCTACAGCCACTTCTCAACTCGCGCGAGTGGCGCTTCTGGACTCTGAGTCTCCTGGATCCTTCGTTTCCGACTCCGTGGTCACCGCCATGATAGCTGCCGGAGCCCTGACAGCTGGCAGCGTTCGTGTTTCGCCCTCTCGTCGTTGGGGTGGGTTTGGTGATGGACCCGCCCTTGTCACCACCCGGTCGATTCGTCTCACCGTTAATTTTCTCCATGGAGATAGAGCTTCCGCTTCTTTGGCGGTCTGGGCCTGTGTTGTTCCAGACGCCACCATGGGGCACGCCGTGCTTCTGGGTCGTGATAGCTGGATGCGCTTCAACTCTCGCGTGTTCACCACCCTCCCTCACCCTGGACCGGACGGCCGGGTTATGGGCGAGCTCACGCTACCTCCGCGTTTTACAGCTGGCGCTTGCGTTTACGCTACACACGACGACGCTCCTGCCTCCTCGTTTCACCTTGAATATGCAGGGAGCTCGGGAATTTCTTTGGGGCCGGAGCCTGCACTCGTTGAGGTGGACCTCGTTCGTTCTTCTGGCATGCCTGCGCTGATTGGAGAGTATCTGGTATCGTTCAAACCCGAAGTGGGTGCGCTTTCTTCCCCAGATTCGTTCGTTTCAAATGGTCTCCAGCGTATTCCCCTTGCAGGTTGTGCCGAGCTCGAGCCGGGAGACGTAATTGGAGTGCCTGCCGCGCCGCTACTACGAGTACCGGTGGAAACCCTGAAGGCGGCACCATCTTCGATTCCTACCGGCCCCACAACATCTACATCGCCACCTCGGGTCAACGCCGTTGGCCTCAAGTCCGGGACTCACCGCTCTCCGGACCCAGCCTACGCCCCGCCTCCTCCGAAGCCGCCTCCACAAGAAGTACTTGACCGCTTCTCTGAAGCACAGCGCTCCAGCTTCATGCGCTTGTGGGCTAGGCTGCCTGCACATATGCACGACATCGCTTTCGATCTACACAATCCGGGATGGACACCGGAGGCTATTGATCGTTTGGCCGACGCCCTTGTGGAGTATTCTGATGTGTTCTCTACTTCGAAAATCGATTTTGGTTCTTGCACCATCATGCCGTTCACGCTTTCTGTCCCAGCAGGGGCGAAGCCCGTTGCATCACGCCGGTATCGTATCAACCCGTTGATGCAAGAGAAAGTGGATGCCGTTTTGGACCAGTATTTGGCGGCAGGGCTCATTCAGCATTCCACGTCTCCGTGGGCTTCTTTAGTTGTCATCCCCAAGAAGGACGGATCGGTTCGCATCACCGTCAACTATTNGCCGTTCACGCTTTCTGTCCCAGCAGGGGCGAAGCCCGTTGCATCACGCCGGTATCGTATCAACCCGTTGATGCAAGAGAAAGTGGATGCCGTTTTGGACCAGTATTTGGCGGCAGGGCTCATTCAGCATTCCACGTCTCCGTGGGCTTCTTTAGTTGTCATCCCCAAGAAGGACGGATCGGTTCGCATCACCGTCAACTATTAACGTCTCAACGCTCTGGTGGATCTGGATGGACAACCTCTCCCTCGAGTGGACGGTATCTTGGATTCTCTGTACACCGGGAAAGTGTTTTCCACCTCAACTCGACTTTCCACCAGATCGTTTGTGATGAAGACACTGTCCCGCTCACCGCCTTTT